CTTCGCAGCATTGGCAGGATCTTGGAAGACATGGAGATGCATGGCTTTGATTGTGCGTCCTTGGGAGGAATGAAAACTGTTTATAAGATGTTTCACTCATCAATCTACGAGATAAAAAGTATGTATTATATATTTAACGCTTAACTGTACAGTAGTTGATTTTTTAAATAATTTAAGATTCATTATGCTGATAAATAAGACGACTAATTTTTAACAAATATAGTGTTACATTGAAAATTATACATAAAATATTGGTATAATGTTCCATTTACTCACAACAATAGTATTGCATATTTTTTTAATTATTATTTTCTCTAGAATACTAGTTTCCAAAGTGGGAGCTATGGCTCCAGGGGGCCCATTTTGCAATATATAGGGGCCATAGGTTGAGGCAGTGTACAGGTTATGATACGGGACCTGTACTGAGTGTAGGGGCCATAGGTTGAGGCAGTGTACAGGTTATGATACGGGACCTGTACTGAGTGTAGGGGCCATAGGTTAGACAGTGTACAGGTTATGATACGGGACCTGTACTGAGTGTAGGGGCCATAGGTTGAGGCAGTGTACAGGTTATGATACGGGACCTGTACTGAGTGTAGGGGCCATAGGTTGAGGCAGTGTACAGGTTATGATACGGGACCTGTACTGAGTGTAGGGGCCATAGGTTAGACAGTGTACAGGTTATGATACGGGACCTGTACTGAGTGTAGGGGCCATAGGTTGAGGCAGTGTTCAGGTTATGATACGGGACCTGTACTGAGTGTAGGGGCCATAGGTTGAGGCAGTGTACAGGTTATGATACGGGACCTGTACTGAGTGTAGGGGCCATAGGTTGAGGCAGTGTACAGGTTATGATACGGGACCTGTACTGAGTGTAGGGGCCATAGGTTGAGGCAGTGTACAGGTTATGATACCAGAGGATACCAGAGGGGACCTGTACTGAGTGTAGGGGGCATAAGTTAAGGCAGTGTACAGGTTATGGTACCCGAGGGGGCCTGTACTGAGTGTAGGGGGCATAAGTTAAGGCAGTGTACAGGTTATGATACCAGAGGGGACCTGTACTGAGTGTAGGGGCATAAGTTAAGGCAGTGTTCAGGTTATGATACCCGAGGGGACCTGTACTGAGTGTAGGGGCATAAGTTAAGGCAGTGTACAGGTTATGATACCAGAGGGGACCTGTACTGAGTGCAGGGGGCATAAGTTAAGGCAGTGTACAGGTTATGGTACCAGAGGATACCAGAGGGGACCTGTACTGAGTGTAGGGGGCATAAGTTAAGGCAGTGTACAGGTTATGGTACCAGAGGATACCAGAGGGGACCTGTACTGAGTGTAGGGGGCATAAGTTAAGGCAGTGTACAGGTTATGATACCAGAGGGGGCCTGTACTGAGTGTAGGGGCATAAGTTAAGGCAGTGTACAGGTTATGATACCAGAGGGGACCTGTACTGAGTGCAGGGGGCATAAGTTAAGGCAGTGTACAGGTTATGATACCAGAGGGGACCTGTACTGAGTGTAGGGGCATAAGTTAAGGCAGTGTACAGGTTATGATACCAGAGGGGACCTGTACTGAGTGTAGGGGCATAAGTTAAGGCAGTGTACACGTTATGATACCAGAGGGGACCTGTACTGAGTGTAGGGGGCATAAGTTAAGGCAGTGTACAGGTTAAGGTACCAGAGGATACCAGAGGGGACCTGTACTGAGTGTAGGGGGCATAAGTTAAGGCAGTGTACAGGTTATGATACCAGAGGGGACCTGTACTGAGTGCAGGGGGCATAAGTTAAGGCAGTGTACAGGTTATGGTACCCGAGGGGACCTGTACTGAGTGTAGGGGGCATAAGTTAAGGCAGTGTACAGGTTATGGTACCAGAGGATACCCGAGGGGACCTGTACTGAGTGTAGGGGGCATAAGGTAAGGCAGTGTACAGGTTATGATACCAGAGGGGACCTGTACTGAGTGTAGGGGGCATAAGTTAAGGCAGTGTACAGGTTATGGTACCAGAGGATACCCGAGGGGACCTGTACTGAGTGTAGGGGGCATAAGTTAAGGCAGTGTACAGGTTATGGTACCAGAGGATACCCGAGGGGACCTGTACTGAGTGTAGGGGGCATAAGTTAAGGCAGTGTACAGGTTATGGTACCAGAGGATACCCGAGGGGACCTGTACTGAGTGTAGGGGGCATACGTTAAGGCAGTGTACAGGTTATGGTACCAGAGGATACCCGAGGGGACCTGTACTGAGTGTAGGGGGCATAAGTTAAGGCAGTGTACAGGTTATGGTACCAGAGGATACCCGACGGGACCTGTACTGAGTGTAGGGGGCATAAGTTAAGGCAGTGTACAGGTTATGGTACCAGAGGATACCCGAGGGGACCTGTACTGAGTGTAGGGGGCTATTAATAACGACAATATATAAACAATTAGTAATGACCGTAAAGATTTTGGGAACCATTGCTCTAGAAAATATTCAATTACAGATGTAATCCTAGTTTAGTATTTGTTACTTTGAAGAGAAATCTACTTTTGATTTTGTGGCGTGGAGTATTTATCTCGTTTGTTTTATTATTACTTATTTATTCCCAGCAAAATTCACAATCACGGAAGAAGGTGACGAACTGGTTCTCTGTTCTGAGAGGAGTGAGGTCATGTAAGTACAAGTTGGTGTTTAATAACTAATCTTTAATTACAGACTCTCTGTATACGACTGTGTCTTGACAAATGTTGAAAGATCACAAGTATGTGATTGGTGAAACATCATTCATTTACGCTGCTGTAGCCTCGTGCGTAACTAATATTTATTGATAACGTTTACCTTTCTGCAGCCCAGTGCGTAACTAATATTTATTGATAACGTTTAGACTACTGCAGGCTCGTGCGTAACTAATATTTATTGTTAATATTTACGCTGCTGCAGCCTCGTGCGTAACTAATATTTATTGATAACATTTACCGTACTGCAGCCTCGTGCGTAACTAATATTTATTGATAACATTTACCGTACTGCAGCCCCCTGCGTAACTAATATTTATTGATAACATTTACCGTACTGCAGCCCCGTGCGTAACTAATATTTATTGATAACATTTACCGTACTGCAGCCTCGTGCGTAACTAATATTTATTGTTAATATTTACGCTGCTGCAGCCTCGTGCGTAACTAATATTTATTGATAACATTTACCGTACTGCAGCCTCGTGCGTAACTAATATTTATTGTTAATATTTACGCTGCTGCAGCCTCGTGCGTAACTAATATTTATTGATAACAGTTACACTACTGCAGACTCAAGCTTAGGGGCCATGAGGTAGTTTTTTTAACTTTGTTCAATGTCAACAAATCTTTTTTGAATAGTTGTATATGAAAAGAGCTGCAATTGTTCCAAGCTTCCGTATTGCAGCCTTTTGTTTTTTTTCAACAAATTTTACACATTTTCAAATCAAAATTACAACCACAAGTTTCAAATTAAATAATTTCTATGACACTCTTTTATCACATTAGCATATAATAAAAGGATCTGTTTCAGCGGATTTTCCAAATTATGTTTAGTTTTACTATACAAATAGTCAAAGTTTCATAAAAAATTATGGTAATATATCATGCTTTATTACTATTATAAAATCAATAAAAGAACTTAAAAAAAAGTCGAAACAGATTTGTAGAAACATAAACTCTACATATATAGTGTAAGTTTCATGTAAATTGAATAAAAAATGAAAGAGTTATAGGAACGTTTAAGTTCCTATAATAAATTCTAGGGTTCTGCCATCTGTGGCTGAGGTTAACATCAACCAATTTCCTCCATAATTGGCACCCTTATAGATAGGCTTACGTGCAGTCAGGTGTATAAGTTTCATGGAAATCATCCGATAAACAAATAAAGAAAAAATTAACTAATTTTTTTTTGGATAAAACTAATTATTAAATATTTTTATTATAAGCTATTGTAATAGCTAAGAGTCGTAGATATGATTTCAGTTGACACGTGTTTGATGTTAATTTTTGACCATTTTGGAATTTTTTTTACACAATTCAAAATTTTTTTCTCCCCTCCTATTTATGCTACGATGCTGAGACTTGGACCAGAGGAAACCCTTTTCATATACAACTCGTCAAAAAAGTTTGATTGAAATCAAACGAGTTTGCATTTGTATATATTTTTGGCATATTTGGAATTTTATGCCCCTTAGCTAATATTTATTGATAACATTTATACTACTGCAGACTCAAGCTTAGCTAATGTTTGTTGTTAACATTTACGTTTCTGCAGACTTGTGCATAATTAATATTTATTGATAACATTTTACACTACTGCAGACTCAAGCTTAGCTAATCTTTATTGATAACATTTTACACTACTGCAGACTCAAGCTTAGCTAATATTTATTGATAACATTTTACACTACTGCAGACTCAAGCTTAGCTAATATTTATTGATAACATTTTACACTACTGCAGACTCAAGCTTAGCTAATCTTTATTGATAACATTTTACACTACTGCAGACTCAAGCTTAGCTAATATTTATTGATAACATTTTACACTACTGCAGACTCAAGCTTAGCTAATCTTTATTGATAACATTTTACACTACTGCAGACTCAAGCTTAGCTAATATTTATTGATAACATTTTACACTACTGCAGACTCAAGCTTAGCTAATATTTATTGATAACTTTTACACATAATCTGCATAAGATTTGCATAATCTGCCTCAATCAGCCACTTGTCTATTCTCTTATTTCTAAGAGTAACCTATAGGACCACATTATTTATGGACCACCATACACCAGTGTCATTGTGGTAAATATAAACAAATGTATATCAATTGTCATCCACACTTCAGTGGAAATAAACATTCTATTCACCCTGGGTTCTAGGAGACTCGAACCTGTGACCCCATGCCTGTGAGGTCATGAAGTTGACCTTACCCCGTGAAGTTAGGTAACTTCATGAAGTTACCATGAAGCTAAAGCTCTATCGACTGGGATGTGAGTAGTCTTAATAAGGAAAGTTTCCAGAACCAGCATCCTGCTGCCAAACTGGAATTTTCGACTTTCCCTGACTACTACTGATGCTCAGAGGAATTGGTGATCCACGCCGACGTCATATTATTATTATTATTATTATTATTATTATTATTATTACTGTATTTATTTATATAAATTGTCATCCACACTTCCGTGGAAATAAACATTCCATTCACGTGGGCTCTAGGAGACTAGAACCGTGGACCCCATGCGTGTGAGGCCGAGCCACTATCGATTGGGTTATGAGTAGTCTTAATAAGGAAAGCAGCAGGATGCTGCTTCTGGAAACTTTCCTTATTAAGACTACTCATAGCCTAGTCGATAGAGCTCTGGGGTCACACACGTGAGGTCCACTGTTCCGAGTCTCGTAGAGTCCAGGTGAATGGAACTAATGCATACTTTCCCATAACCTTGTCCTGAAGTTACCAGCCATGTATACTTTCCCCATAACCTTGTCCTGAAGTTACCAGCCATGTATACTTTCCCCATAACCTTGTCCTGAAGTTACCAGCCATGTATACTTTCCCCATAACCTTGTCCTGAAGTTACCAGCCATGTAAACTTTCCCATAACCTTGTCCTGAAGTTACCAGCCATGTATACTTTCCCCATAACCTTGTCCTGAAGTTACCAGCCATGTATACTTTCCCCATAACCTTGTCCTGAAGTTACCAGCCATGTATACTTTCTCCATAACCTTGTCCTGAAGTTACCAGTCATGTATACTTTCCCCATAACCTTGTCCTGAAGTTACCAGCCATGTATAATTTCCCCATAACCTTGTCCTGAAGTTACCAGCCATGTATACTTTCCCATAACCTTGTCCTGAAGTTACCAGCCATGTATACTTTCCCCATAACCTTGTCCTGAAGTTACCAGCCATTTATACTTTCCCCATAACCTTGTCCTGAAGTTACCAGCCATGTATACTTTCCCCATAACCTTGTCCTGAAGTTACCAGCCATGTATACTTTCCCCATAACCTTGTCCTGAAGTTACCAGCCATGTATACTTTCCCCATAACCTTGTCCTGAAGTTATTAGCCATGTATACTTTCCCCATAACCTTGTCCTGAAGTTACCAGCCATGTATACTTTCCCCATAACCTTGTCCTGAAGTTACCAGCCATGTATACTTTCCCCATAACCTTGTCCTGAAGTTACCAGCCATGTATACTTTCCCCATAACCTTGTCCTGAAGTTACCAGCCATGTATACCTTCCCCATAACCTTGTCCTGAAGTTACCAGCCATGTATACCTTCCCCATAACCTTGTCCTGAAGTTACCAGCCATGTATACCTTCCCCATAACCTTGTCCTGAAGTTATCAGCCATGTATACCTTCCCCATAACCTTGTCCTGAAGTTACCAGCCATGTATACCTTCCCCATAACCTTGTCCTGAAGTTACCAGCCATGTATACCTTCCCCATAACCTTGTCCTGAAGTTACCAGCCATGTATACCTTCCCCATAACCTTGTCCTGAAGTTATCAGCCATGTATACCTTCCCCATAACCTTGTCCTGAAGTTATCAGCCATGTATACCTTCCCCATAACCTTGTCCTGAAGTTACCAGCCATGCCTTGGTAACCGAACAATCCATCCATCGCAAGAGCTCTCTCCACATATTAAACTTTTCCATGTTGAAAAGTCTGTCATTATGACGAGGATTATTTCATCACATCAATTGACTCGCTTCCAGATATATATAGTAAATGTACATACTGATTCTTCCTTGCTAAGTGCTAATGTTAATTTTTTGTAATACAGTTGTATTAAGAATACCAGTAATCTCAATGCTAAAAATCTAAAGTCTTATTAAGTCTTAATAAACAATCCAAATAGTACAAGAAATGGAGCAAGAAAGCGTTACTTATCTCTTCATCATATTTATGTCGGTGATGCGTCAAACGAGTCAAGTAAACATATTCAAACAAGAGGTTCTGCCGTATTTCTTTCATCACCGTGTCGTCAATCTCTACTGTAGCCATAGAACTCAGTGGAATCCTAGATAGTATAACTTACACCAAGTCATCACCGTGTAGTCAATCTCCACTAGCCACACAACTCAGTGGAGTCCCAGATAGTATAACTTACACCAAGTCATCACCGTGTAGTCAATCTCCACTGTAGCTACAAAGCTCTGTGGAGTCCATTTCCTACAAAAGTATTCGTAAAATATAGACTTGGTTGTCATGTATTTACAGTGTAAACAAAATATAATTGTAGCTTCCGGCACTGAAGAAGGACTGTATGCCAGACCTTGTGATGTACCGCAGCCTTAATGTTCCTTAACAGTAAGTGTTTGGGATTTTCTCATAATGAGACTCCATCACTTAAAGACATCATTATTACAATTCAGTAAACTATTTGTTTGCACTTTTTAAAAGTTCATATTCTGATAAATAATCTCTTAACAAATATTTATCTATATTGCAGTGAGAAAGAAAAGAAGATTGATGAACAGCAAGAAGAGGTACGTAAATATCTGACAACTTTACACACTGTTTTCAAACATAAATATATTTTATTCAGCTTAAAGTTATTGATAACAGGAATTACACAATCGATTCCCCAGTTGCTGCATTTTCTACCGACACATTTATTTTTTATATTTCTATTCATTAAGAATTCCTGTTATGACCTTCAGAAGGAGTTACCGATCAGTGGCCAGGTCTGTCCGTTTGTCTCTCACTCTCCCAGTCTACCTCCTTCCCTCACTTTCTCATTCAACCTCCCTCCCTCACTTTCTCAGTCAACCTCCCTCCCTACCTTACAGTCTCATTTTACCTCCCTCTTCCATTCTACCTCCCTCTCCCATTTTCCTCCCTACATCAAAGTCCATCCCATTTTATCTTCCCGTTCTTTCTCGCAATGGGTCAAACTTGCTCGAGTAGTACTGAATCAACATTAAATCAACGTTATCGACATTGAACCAATGTATTCGATATGGACTCAACGTCGATAACAGCCGAATAACAGACATCGATTGGAAAATACTCTGAACAATGAAACCCACATTTCAGACTTGCGAGGAGTTGCTGGTTGTCACAGTAGGAGCCAGTCCTAATAAAAGATGGACAGAAGGGTCGACCCCAGCCACACTATGACACTCGTAATACAACCACAATTTACCATGTTAAGTCGCGCGATTCTGACCACAACTGTCTGGCCGCCAGCTTCGGACAGATATTCTCTTATCACTTTAGACATTTTAACCGTATTTAGTTATTTAGAATATGGTTTGGTTTTGGGTTAATTCCTGTCAACCTCTAGGTTTATTAGACCATAACAGATGCTTTTATCATTATAATAACAACAGTGTATTTTGTAACTATCTTGGTGTATGGATGGTTTGTTGTTGCAAGGTCACTAACATTATTAGCGTGTCAGGTATGTGTACTTAAGTCCTGAGCATTATTCCTGCCTAAAGTAAACAAACTCAGTTTATATACACTATACACACAGGACTGAATCATTTTATATATATATCAGCGTAGTAAAATGAATGTTGAAGATGCTTTGTGTTATCATAGTAATATCATAACAGTTGGTCAAGAATCCATTTACTCCGAGTTCATTCACTGTTTATTTATTAGAGTACTAGCTGTACCCTGCCACGCATTGTTGTGGTTCAGCAACGCATGTGCATTGCTGAGTCACAGCCACCTTTTCCTGTCTCCTGGTCCTCCCAACCATTCCTCACTCCCCCGTCCCCTCATCCTCCCAACCATTTCCCACTCCCCTGTCCCCTCGTCCTCCCCACCATCCCCCACTTCCCTGTTCTCTTGTCCTCCCCCCAACAATCTTCAAATCTTCATTCCCCTGTCCCCTCGTCCTCCCCACCATTACCGCCTCCCCTGTCCCCTTGTCCTCCCCACCATCCCCCACTCTTGTCCCCTTGTCCTCCCCACCATTCCCCACTCCCTCGTCTGATGCATTCCCAAAAAATCTGATGATAACATAAAAAAATTGGGAATATCAAATGATCTGATGTTCCCATCACTGAATATAAAAAAAAAAAAACGAAATGAAAAAAAAAATAAACTACTCACAAAATGAATGGTATGGTAAACAACAAAGCCTAATTCCAACACAATGTCACACAAATAATTAAATCAAAATTAAATTAATTCGAAATCTATGAAAATTCAATTTATCAATGAAATTGGAAACATTGAAATGAAATCGAAACATATTTAGTTTAGCGTAAATTTCTCTTACGTGCAACAGATGGCGCTGTTTAAAAAAAAAAACATGTTTTTATCTGTCACAGGTGTCGCATCTATACTGATACGAAATGAATGGTATGGTAAACAACACAGCTCAATTCCAACACAATGTCACACAAAATAATTCAATAAAAATTTAAATAAATCGAAACTATGAAAATTAAATTTATCAATGCAATCGGAAATATTGAAATGTATTTCGTAGCATATTTAGTATAGCTGTGTGTTGCTATTACGTGCAACAGATGGCGCTGTTTTTTGAACAAAAAACATGTTTTTTCCTGTCACAGGTAAGGCATGTTTACAGTAGGTATATATAAATACGCACACATTCAAATGGAACGTGTCAGAATTTCAAAGCAATCGGTAAAGAGGTTTCGAAAATTTCTCTCACATGAAAAACACTAACTGAAAATTAAATTTATCAATGCAATCGGAAACATTGAAATGTATTTCGTAACATTTAGTATAGCTGTGTGTTGCTATTACGTGCAACAGATGGCGCTGTTTTAAAAAAAAACATGTTTTTCCCCGTCACAGACGTGACATCAAATTAATATGTATATAAAAACCTGCTTGGATGCGAATGGAACATTGTGTGAAAATTTAAAAGCAATCGGTGAAGAACTTTCGGAGATTAGCGATTTTGAACAAACAAACATTTCCATTTTTATTTATATAGATTTACACCCACTTATATTGACTACTGTATACAGGCGTCAGTATTACTGAATATTAATACTCCCATTTCCATTTTTAAAATAACGAAAGTATTGGTTTTAGTAATGCTACTTGACACATTAGCTACTTGTCAATTACTATATTGCCGGACAAAAGGTTACTTGAGCTGCATGCAAAGAATAAGTCACATTAACAAATGTGACTTATTCTCTGATAAAAAATAATATCCCAACTCACACTTATGATGAGTAAAAAAATATGACGACGTCCTTCCTGGACGACTTGATAAGTTCCAGGGTGGACTGAAAACTTGTCACTTTCCTTCCTTTTCATGTGTGGGTTGAGTTATCAGGCTTCACCTAATGATTTATACCTTCATTGTTTATGCCACTGGTTCATGGCTTTACATGTAAGGTGCGCCCTTGTGAACGTGCCTGTGTCTAGCCGGTGAATTATTCACTATCAATAAGGACGTACGTCATGACCTCACCTCCAACCCGAGGTCACAGACTGACAATATGAGGGAGGATGATATCCAGCAAGATAGCTGGAAAGTCGCAGACAATAGAGGGAACCAAGCCCTCAAGGAAGGATGGCATCATAACCATATAGGAATAGTTGAAACTTCATACTCCTTTTCAGTGTTGAAAGAGAACTGGAGGGGAAGTGAGTACATAGGAAAACTGTACATAGATCGTAGGAGGATATTGATAGTTGTAGTTTCCCAGGTGGTGAATATTTTGCTCGATGGGAGGTTTCTGTCCACGCTGAGCTGGCCTTGGACACCTGCCCTATCATTTGACACATTAACGCCCTGTCAACCTCCCAACCTGGTAATGTCTCGGAACGGATCACTAAAGACTTTAACCTCGGGGAACAAACTGAACAGACGGGTAACTGAGAGGCAAAAGAATGCTTGGGAGTGATGGAAGACTGCTTGGATACTGAACTGACAAGTAATGTAAGCAAGATTATGGGGTGACAATCCCCCTTCCATGGTGTTGCCTTGTCGTGGTGAGGGGGCTCACGTACACCTCCCTGGGACCGGTGAAGGTAGACTTTTCCTCCTTTTATGCCCCTCTTTGGGTGTTGTATGTGCGAAAGGGCATCAACGTAGGGTCCTTGTGAGTCAACGGAGGGGTTGCCCTACGTGAATGGTTGGGTGTCCAGGCTGGGGCGAAAAGGAGAATGGGGCCTTTGCACCAGTGTGGGAGAATGGGTGAGGCAGTAGGGCTTCCTTGTTAAAAAGGGGCAGCACCGCTGGGGATGATACACCCCTTCCTGCACTTGCCCGCACTCGGCCTCCCTGGCTGTCCTGGTAGATGGTATCCTATAGTTCCAGGTTCGAATTTTAGAATTGATGCTGTATGAAAACTGAGCCGACCTCTCTTACCCATGCTCGTGGGGTGGGCGACTAGGCCTTCGAGTCAGACTGTGATGGAAGACTGGACTGTAGCGGATCAGCCCCCACTACATTTGCCCCAGAGCAGACCCTCCTGACTACCCCTCTATGCTCCCCTCCCACCTCCGTGGTGGGGTTGAGCCCCAAGCCCCCAGTGTTGATCTGGAGCGGCTCCTTTCATTGTGATAACTGTGCCTTTTAATGTCCCCCTCTCACTAGGGGGTGCTCGGTGCTGACCCCCTTCCCCCTCAACAAACTCACTCGCATGATTCCTTCCAGCACTAATACGTTCCATGTCTTGTTTGGTTTGGCTACATAGACTAAATACTTTGATCTCAACTATCTGGATTCTACACGTCCTGATGATTTCTCCATAAAGACCTTGTTGATTCGGTGTTTCTGCCCCTCCCCCTGATTACCTTGACCGCCCCTCGACCCTGTTCGTCCGCCTCTGGTCCGTCCTCTATTTTTTTTTGTCTTTGTTTCTTCATTGTTCTCTGTTGCTGTTCTCTCTCCTTTTGACAATGTCTATTCTTCAATGGAATATTCGTGGATTTTATGCAAACTTACATGAACTCGAACTTCTGATAACACAGTTTTCACCGCTTTGTGTGTCTTCAAGAGCCGATGTTCGGTGCTCGTCTCTGTCACTTTCGTGGTTATTCCTTTCTCCCCTACCCGCTGAAGCTTTTGCTGGGGCCCATAACTCTACTGCTCTCTTGATTCGTACTGATATTCCCTTCGTCCCCCTACTTTTTCAGTCTCCTATCCAATGTTCTGCAGCCCGTATCTTTGTGAGTAAATGGTATACAGTCTTCCATTTATCTCCCCCCCCAAATGTTCCACTTTCTCTTCCTGATCTTAAGCCTCTGTTGCACTCCTTACCAGAGCCTGTGCTCTAGTTAGTGCTCTGGTAGCCTGGTGCTCTGTGTTGGGTGATTTCAGCTGTCGACATACCCTCTGGGGTGATATTCTGACAAACACCCGAAACCGCCTTCTTGAAACGTTCATCATCTCTTCTGAATTCAGGTGAACCCACTCATGTGGACTCGAACTTGCACCCTTTCCTGTCCTAATGTTTCTCTCTGCTCGTCTCCTTACTTAGATTTCATGTGACGGGTTCTTAATGATCTCCATAGGTGACCATTTCCCCATCCTTGTCACCTTTTTCTCTTTTCACCCTCCCCTATCCTTCCCTAGGAGGCAGTTTGAAAAGGCTGACTGGAACCTATTTACCCTCCGTGCTACTCTATCCGACCTCTCCACTCTGCCTCTCCCTCGCGCCCTCCTTTTTCATGACACCCTCTTCGACGCTACCTTCCACTCTATTTCTCGCTGTACCTCCTGGGGCACGCAGAAGTGCATTCCCTGATGGGAATGCACGTCTGTGACCCATTGTTACAGCCACAATGGGTCGCAACCGGGTTCTTTGCTAAGGGAACCAAAGTTCTGATATCCAACCCCAAGTTAGTAGTGGTTTTCAAGGAGTGAGCTTGGTAATGCAAGTAAAACAATGGGGGAGTTGCAAGGAATACGATACTTCATCAATTATCATTATATTCACATATAATCACTTTCCCATCACCTTAAATAAAATCATAATTACTCCATTGATATATACACCTGTGTCGCTCTCATAGGACACTAAGCGCTCCTCGATGCTCATGCGATAAAGTCTTGTCAACTTCCGTGTTTCCTCAACACACACTACCGTCCTTAACCAGTACTGGGAAACACCAATGAGTCTACCCTATCCACTGGCCAGCCTATACACAGTCTCACTAGATGCTCCTTGTGAACGCCCACAATCACTCTCCAGCCTGGTGCTGGCAGAGAACATCAGCCTCGCGCTGCTGGGCCTCTTCGCGAACAAATACAAAGGTAGCGAACCCCTGGCAAGAGCTTCTTGCAACTACCTAGTTACACTCCTCCATAGCACCTTACTGTCAGTCGTCTCTTCCTCTAACCAGTCCAGGGATACGCCGAATTCTGTCACTGCCACTTCACAGGCAGACAGCAGACACTACACAGTTCCTCTTCGGCGGCGGCTCACTGCTTCTGTAAAGCAGAATGGAGTAGAGAGATATAGGCTGCCCTGGGTAGACTGACTGTCCTCGTACCACAGCAGCCCTACGTTGCCTCTGTGGATACAGACACGTCATCAGTAAACTGGTCAGTACTTGGGACACTAGGAAATACCACTTACGGACTCTGACATAAATATACAACTCCTCCCACAATAGATGGGAGGAGTTGTCGACAACGACATCGAGCCAGTCCCTGAGGACTGGCTCGATGTCGTTGTACTCCCTATTTGGGAACCGGGGTCTCTCGGGACTCCCGCCCTATTCCCCTCACGAGTTGTGTCTGCAAACTCTTTGAACGTATGGTCAGTGTTCGTCTGAAGTGGTTCCTGGAACACTCCCCACCTCTCCCCTTCTCAATTACTTTTTCGCAATTGCTGCAGCACGACTGATGTATTGGTGAACGTGGAGGTCTATTCTATTGCTTTTGCTGTGAAGACCTCTGTTGTTGCTGTCCTTTTTGACCTGGAAAAGGGCTTACAATGTAACACCACCTAAAGATGCCATATTCTGTCCCAACTTCGTTCTTTTTGTTTTCGTGGTAATCTCCCTCTTCCTCCAAAACTTCCTCTCTCGTCTTTGCTTTAGAGTGAGGCTTGGTGCCACTCTGCCTCTTTTCGGCAATACAAAGGTGTATCCCAAGGTAGGGTTTTGAGCACTACTCTTTTCTGGTTGCCCTCAATGGTCGTCTTTCCTCCCTTCTGGCATCTTCTCTGTTCTCTATGTCGACGATCTTACCCTTTGCTGTCAAGATGATTCGCCTCTCCTTCAACAGCGGCTTCAACTTGCGATTGATGCTGTTTTGTCTTGGGCCACCAATCATGGCTTTAAGTTCTCTGCAAATAAGACATTTGCTTTGACTTTACTCGAAAGCAAGTCATTTTTCATCCCTCTTTTTCGCTTTATGGGCATCCCCTTGTGTACAAAGATTCTGCTAAGCTTTTGGGGTTAATCTTGGACACTCACTTGAAACACTTGGACGTGTTACCAATATATCTCCTCGCGTTGTTCTGTCATTGGCCCCTTAGAAGGTTCCTAAATTTTGTAAAAATCTTGACCCATCTGACGAAAGCTTTTACCCCTCCTTCAGTTCTAAAACGCCCTTTCCCTGAACACTTTTCTTCACACTCCCGCTCCATTTCCATCTTTATTGATGGGTCTGGAGATGGTGTAGGCTACTCTCTTGTTTTTCCTGACCACACATTATGTGGTCAGAACCACATTATTACATAATCGACCACACTTTTCTGGCCGCCTGCTTCCGGAGACTAGTATCTTCACGGCAGAACTTTATACTATTCTCTATGCTCTTCGTCAACTCCTTTCTTGCTGTCAATTCTTCTTTGTTGTTGTAGTTGACTCGCAGTGCCCTCATGGCTCTGGGTTCCTTTAATCCAGTCCATCCTGTGGTAGTCAAGATTCAACATTGGCTGCTTTTTATCTAGTAGATTTAAGACAGTGGACTTTTGCTGGGTTCTCAGCCATATTGGTGTGTTTTTAAATGAACGTGCAGACACTGCCGCTAAGGGAACTCTCAGCACTTGTCCCATCTCCCGTACAGGTATTCCTTATTCTGACTTTTATCCAATTATTCATTCCTCCATCCATGCCCTTTGGCAGGGATGTTGATCGTCTGGTACTGGTAACAAACTTAGTGCTATTAGGAGTAGTGTGTTCCCGTGGTTTCCTCTTACCACCCTAACCGGCGTTGGGAAACAACTCTGGTGAGGTTACGTATTGGCCAAACATGTTTAACTCATGGGCACTTCATGGGCCCTGCTCCTTATTGTCCAAACAGCATTGTCCCTCCTTCTGTCGTGCATATCATTATTGAATGTCCTGAGTTCCAGGACGAACGTGTCTTGCTTTCTGACCGTCCCTCGCCCTCGATAGAAAACATGGTGAATCGGATACCTTTGATATCGTTTGCCTTATGGGTTTCTATTCTCGTATTGGTATCCTTAGTGATATTTAGCACCCTATATTCTGCACATTTGATGATGCTACATAGCCTTCCCGGTTTGGTGCCTTCTTTTGGTAATTACCTACTTACTTGTGGGTGACAAAGGTGGGGTGTGTAGTGGATGCAAAAGAATACTTGGAAAAATTTAAAAGAAACATAATAAAGTTCAACACTGGCTCTAAAATAATATAAGCCATTTAACATTGAGAAGTGTAAATTCCTTTATCTGTGGAAAGACAAGGGTGCTGTATACTTAATCAATAATACAGTCATCGACATGCACTAGGAGTCAAAGTTAGCAAGGCAGAAACAGCAGTACATTAATGCAGGAAATAAGCAACCAGGGTCCAGGGATTTTATAGTTAGAATCATCAGACAATGTCATCCTTCAGTTATGTCTAACACTGATGAGGCTCGCCTTGTACACTCGCTGAAGAAGGCAAGACAAGGACAGGATATGACCGAGGTTTTCATGTGAAGAACAAGGGAGGTGATTACAGGGACAACCTTGTAATCAGTGTCGACACAGGATGACAGTGTCGTAGCAGATTAGTACACGCAAGACTGGTACAAGCTAGATAAATACTGTAGCAACTATATAGGAATGTACTCACAAGATTGGGTACAAGCTAGATAAATACTGTAACAACTATATAGGAGTGTACCCACAAGATTGGGTACAAGCTAGATAAATACTGTACCAACTATGTATATAGGAATGTACCCACAAGACTGGGTACAAACTAAATACTGTTCAGCAAGTATATAGAAAAGTACCCACAAGACTGGGTACAAGATATATAAATACTGTTTAGCAAGTATATAGGAAAGTACCCACAAGACTGGGTACAAGCTATATAAATACTGTTCAGCAAGCATAAAGGAAAGTACCCACAAAACTGGGTACAAGCTAGCTAAATACTGTTTAATATACAGGAAAGTAGCCGTTAAAGAGTTGGTTGTGGATGAATGTAGTTTAACAGGAGTCAACAGTTGGATAAGTATAATGTTGAGAGGCGTAGTAGTAAATGGACCATGGACCAACAAACTTGTTGCAGAGCTACTTAATTCTTATGTTCATTTCTTCTTTTTCATTTTGTCACGCAGGAAAGTAGTTCGTATGAGTTCTTAATATAAATAGGAAAGTGTTCCGGTGCAGAAGATTAGCTTTGTCATTACTTGCCGTCTTTCATCTTTGTAACTTGCATCCTGTCTGTAAAACTACACAAAAGCTGCACTATTTATAACTGTAGAGAAGTTTAGTAAGGCGTTATTATGTATATATACATTTGTGGTATATTTACTTTTGTTTACTTTCAGGAAAAGACTGAACCAACTCTGGACTCAGTAATTGATGAGCTGGATAAGCTGTGGGAGGAAGAAATATCACCAATGGAGGATGCTGCAGCAGTTTTCTTGTTGAAGTTACTGTGAGTTTAATTCATTACTGTAACTAATGCGGGTTATTTTCATGTTAAAAGTTTTTTAAAACAATTATGGGAAGTATGGATATATTTGGTGTAATGAGAAGAGAGGTAATGGAAAACTCTGAATAGTCGAAGGATGACAAAAAATATATATATTGATAGTGAGATTAATGGGCGGTGGGAGAAGTTGAACAGTTTATTGACAGTGGTCTTGGACAGCTGACTCCCATAGACAACAGTAAAAGGTCTAACCCCTTGATGTCCTTTTCTATATAACTGAAACCAAGTACTTTATCAAACCGGTTCCATATTCTTCCACCTCAGTATATACTGGTATCTGACCGTGTCTCAAAACGTACTTCCCTATTATAAACTGTACCATAATATTGGAAAACTTCCATGGCATAATATAGCAAAATAAAGTCTTAAAAAGTAGGTTGTTCATGCACGATATTTTATAGTGCATATTTCTTTAAAAAATTTTAGTTTGGAAGATATTGTGGTAAGTATTTATTAAACATGTTTTGTAAGGTATTATTTTCATGTACAGTCAAGAAAAGTCTTCCTTTACCCCTCAATCCGTGTAACGTGCATAATGGCAACGCCGCGTTTGTTGTTGTTGTAGTAGTGTGTTAGATTATGAATGAACAGGCGCTTTGTAACGATGAGTCACATTGGTCAAAACACCACATATAAGTTTATATAATTCACACTGCTATCGAAAAGAATATAAAGTACAGCAGTGAATATAAATGGATATATGTATATTAGTAAACTGGGGAGATACTCTATCGTCTTTAGTGCGTAAGAGTTTATTGACCTTTTACGTAAACGATTTAATGTATGATAATTTTATGTATTGGCAATTCGCTGTTGAGGCAGACGACTTCACGTCTGCTTCAGACGTTACAGACACACCGCATCGCAAACAAACAGACACAGACATATAGAGACACAGAGACATACAGAGACAGACGTACAGAGACACACAGACATACAGAGACAGATGTACAGAGACACATGCATATAGAGAGACACAGACATACAGAGACACACAAGACATACAGACATACAAACACACACAGACACAGGCACACAATCATACAGACACACACAGACACGGCATTTTCAATGGGGTTCATATCGCAGCCTTTGCTAGGCTACTCGAGGAGCTGAGTATTGTGTTCGTCAAATCATAGCCTAACAATCCGGGCACTATGAATGAAGTAAATATCCTGTTATATGATCGGTAAAACGAATTAACAAGAGGTAATAACAATTCAGGCAGAATATTAAAAAGATAAAACGTTTTAGATTCAGTTATTTGGAACAAAAGTTCCAAGTAGCACGGACTATGGTGAGCCCGTAGTGGATTTATTTACTGAGCACAGGAGCGGGACTGTGTTTAATAACACATTTTGAGGTTAAAATTAACAGAAAATAATGAACCTTGTAAAATATCAATGGCAATGCCTGAGTAACATTAATAACCGAAAGGTAGGATAATGTTAGCCTATTTGGTGGTAAATCTATACAAATAAAAATGGAAATATTCGTTTGTTTAAAATCGCTAATCTCCGAAAGTTCTTCGCCGATTGCTTTGAAATTTTCACAATGTTCCATTTGCATCCGAGTGGGTTTTTATATACATACTATATTGATGTCACTTCTGTGACAGAAAAGACATATTTTTTTGAAAAACTTTGTTTTACATGTGAGAGAAATCTTCGAAACCTCTTTACCTATTGCTTTGAAATTTTGACACGACGTTGCCTTCGAATACGCACGTGTTTTTCTATGCCTACTAGCAATACCCGACCACGCTTTGCTGGGGCTGAAATGTGCGTTGCTGAGCCACAGCAACCTTCCCTGTCCCCCAGTACTCCCCAACATTCCCTGCTCATCAGTCTCCTCAGCCTCCCAACCATTCCCCACTCCACCGTCCCCTCATCCTCCCCACCATTCCCCACTCCACCATCCCCTCTTCCTTCCCACCATACCCCACTCCCCTGTCCCTTTGTCCTCCCCACCATTCTCCATTCCCCCGTCCCCTCGTCCCTACTATCCCACACTCCCCCATCCCCTTGTCCTTCCCCACTATTACCCCCTCCCATGTTCCCTCGTCCTCCCCACCATCTCTAACTTCTGTTCCCTTGTCATCCCCACGACCACGTTCGAGGCCTTCCCAAATTGTCTGATGTTCCCATCAGAAAATTGGAAACATCAAGTGATTTGATGTTCCCATCACTGAAATATAAGAAAAACAGTTAAAAAATGAAATGAAAATATAAAAAAATATACTATACTCACAAAATGAATGGTATGGTAAACAACACAGCTCAATTCCAACGCAATTCACACAAAATAATTAAATCAAAGTGAAAATAAATCAAAATTTATGAAAACTCAATTTATCAAAGCAATCAGAAACATTGAAATGGAATTGTAACATATTTAGTATAGCATGTGTGTTGCTCTTACATGCAACAGATGGCACTGTTTTTCAAGAAAAACATAGTTTTACCTGTCACAGGTGTGGCATCTATACTTATACTTACGAAATGAACAGTATGGTAAACAACATGGCTCAATTCCAACACAATGCAAAACAAAATAATTGAATAAAAAATAAAATAAATCGTAATCTATGAAAATAAAATTTATCAATGCAATCGGAAACATTGAAATGGAATTTGTGACATATTTAGTATAGGGTGCATGCTGCACCCTATACTAAATACACTAAATATATATACTAAATATACTAAAGTGCAACAGTTGGCGCTGTTTTTCAAAAACGCACGTTTTCACCTGTCACAGAGGTGGCATCTATATAGTAGGTATAAAAAGAAGTGAAAATTCGAATGCAATGTTGTGTCAAAATTTCAAAGCAATTGGTGAAGAATTTTCAAAGATTACAGCGTGTGTTGCTCTTACGTCCAACAGATGGTGCTTTTTTTTTTAAATGCAATTTTTAAAACTCATGTTTTTTTCCATCACAGGTGAGGCATGTATATAGTAGATATATAAAAAGACGCGCCTATTCGAATGCAACGTTGTGTCAAAATTTCAAAGCAATCGGTAAAAAGGTTTCGAAGATTTTCCTCACATAAAAAATACAGTTTTCAGAAAAAGCATGTTTTTTTACCGTCACATATATGACATCTATATAGTATGTATATAAAAACCTGGCCGGATGTAAATGGAACGTTGTGTGAAAATTTCAAAGCAACTGGTGAAGAACTTTCATAGATTAGCGATTTTGAACAAACGAACATTTCCATTTTTATTTATATAGACTATATACATGTCCTATAACATCTTATACAAACCTATAACAGGAAAAAAAGTTTTTTTTTTTTTTAACTGTGCCATCTGTTGGACGTAAGAGCAACACACGCTGTAAGCTCCCAAATTTCTTCCCCAATTGCATTGAAATTCTGACACGTTTCATTCAAACATGCGCGTGTTTTATGTACCTACTATATAGATGCCACACCTGTGACAAGTAAAAACATGTTTTTTCTCAAAAACAGCACCCTCTGTTGCACGTAATAGCAACACACACACTATACTAAATATGTTATGAATTCCATTTAAATGTTTTTGATTGCATTGATAAATTAAATTTTCATCGATTTCGATTTATTTTAATTTTTATTGAATTATTTTGTATGACATTGTGTTGGAATTGAGCTGTGTTGTTTACCATACCGTTCATTCTGTAAGTATAAGTATAGATGCCACACCTGTGACAGGTAAAAACATGATTTTTTTTTAAACAGCTCCATCTGTTGCATGTAAGAGCAACTCACGCTATACTAAATATATTTCGATTCATTTCAGTGTTTCCAATTTCATTGATAAATTGAATTTTCCTAGATTTCGAATTATTTTCATTTTGATTTAAATATTTTGTGTGACATTGCATTGGAATTGAGCTTTGTTGTTTATCATACCGTTCATTTTGTGAGTATTGTTTATTTTTAACTTTTTCATTGTTTTGCATTTCGTTTTTTAACTGTTTATCTTATATTACATTGATCGGAACATCAGATTATTTGATGTTCCCAATTTTCTGATGGGGATATCAGTTCATTTGGGAATGCATCAGATGAGGGAGTGAAGCCTCATCGGATGAGGGAGTAAAGTTGGATGAGGGGACTGGAGTGGGGGATGATGGGGAGGACGAGGAGATGGGGAGTTGTGGATGATGGGGACGAAGGGACAGGGAAATTGAGAATGGTGGGGGGACAAGGGCGTGGGTGATGGTGGAAGGACGAAGGAATGGGGGAGGGGGAAATGGTAGGGAGAGTGACAGGACGGGTGAGTTAGAGATGGTGGGGGAAGACGAGGGGACGGTGGAGTGGGGAATGGTTAGGAGGACGAGGGGATGGTGTGGAGGTGAATGGGACGGGGGAGGGGTGGGAATGGAGGGTGGACGAGGGGGTGGGGGATTGATGAATGGTTGGGAGGACAAGGGAAGGGGGAAAGGGGGGTATGGTAGAGAGGACTGGGAGACAGGAGAAGGTTGCTGTGGCTCAGCAAAGCACATGGGTTTCTGAGCCACAGCAACGTGTGGCCCGGTACAGCTAGTCTTTAATAAATAATCAATACAATACCAGCATGAATATTATTTGCTGAGGGTAGGGAAGAGCATATGTGCATCCGGAAAGCACCATCACTTCCTCCAATATCCTCCGTCTTCAGGAGAGGCTTTTCTTTGTCCACCTTCATCCTTTCCAGGCCGTTGCTGTAGTGAGGGCTTGTTGGGCGGCTGCCGGAGTGTGATAATCCATGGGACAGTCCTCTGTCCTTTTTGAAGCCTTATGCTCTTGCTTGCATCTCCACTAATTGTGCTGGATGCCTTTTCCTATTCCTTATGTTTAATTTTTCCTTCCCCCTCTTCCCCTTTCTGATTGTCATTTCCCACCGACTTTTTGCTATTCTTGATTATTCTTTCTGATGTCTTCTGTTTTGTCGCCCGGATGTTTGGGGAAGCA